CTTCCCTGGTCTAAGGCTTTCCTTCCTGTTAAATGGGAATAATTACATATAATCATCATTGTAACCACCATTCACTGAGGTTTTACTCTGAGCTGGGCCCTGTGCTAGAAACATTGTCACATTTATCCTCAGAGTGCCCTTGGAGGTAGGTACAGTTTTCATACCCACTTTCAGACAAGGAAACTGTGGAGGAACAGGGAAGTTAGGGAACATGCCTGCAGTCCATGGTTAGTAAAGGTGGACCTGGGTCTCAGTACCATGTCCACCGTGACATACAGAGTTACTTTATAAAGATCAAGGACAGAAGTAAAAGTGTTTTGAAAACAAATAAAAAGGCGCGGGGTAGGACGGGGGTTGCATAATACAAATATAAATCACAAACGCCTGGACATGATTTAAGGGATATTCCTAATCCCTTTAAGAATGTTCTGTGGAGGGTCGCCTGGGTGGCTCAGTCATTAAGCATCTGCCTTCTGCTCAGGTCATGATCCCAGGGTCCTGGGATCGAGCCCCACATCGGGCTCCCTGCTCCACGGGAGGCCTGCTTCTCCCTCTCCCACTCCCCCTGCTTGTGTTCCCTCTCTCACTGTCTCTCTATCTGTCAGATAAATAAATAAAATCTTTAAAAAAAAAAAAGAATGTTCTGTGGAATCTGTCCATAGAATCAGAGACCGCCAAGAAGGGAGAGACCCTCAACAAGTCGTTTCTTTCCTTCCTCCCTCCCTTTGGACCGGAATGCTATGCCTAGCCAAAGTCTACAGGTGAGACCAGAGGGTCAAGCAAGGGGGCTCCAGGGCCTTGGGTTGTCCTGTTCATTGCCACGAGCTCAGCCGGTACATTTCAGGTGCTTAACTATTTGCTGAATACTCTCTGGAGGCGCGAGCGAAGGAACGGCTGGGAAACTTCGGTACAAACCGAGAGCACTGGAGCATCAGGGCCTTGAGAAAGGCAACGTGCGCTGAGGCTGCAGCTGTGCCCTCAGCCTGCCCGGACCGCCTCAGCCCTGCGGCTCCCACTGGGGAGGAGAGACTTGCCCTGGGACCTACAGCTCCCAAACACGCCCCGCAGGTCTCTGCAGCTCTGGGAACTGCCTGGACTGTTGCTGCGCCCAGGGGGAGGCCTGGCAGGGTGCCTGCCCCCTGCTTTCCCAGGGCTTCGGAGAGGCTGGGAAGTGACTTACTCAAAGTCCCCCTTCTGCCCCGAACCGGTTCTGCCGAGGGAGGCCCGATGACAAACAGATGCAGTCACTACAGACTCACAGGGCCACGCAGGGTGGAGCTGGCTGAAGCCCTGGCGATCCCCAGACTCAGGCCAGAGCACACCTATATGTACTCTGGGGTCGGCGGGATCCAACCTCCACCGGCCACGGGGTCTTGGAGAATTATTTGAAAAGAAAATATTTGAAAAGCACTGGTTTTCTCAGGTGTAAAATGGAAATAACAGTCTCTGCTTTAAACAGTAAGCTTGTGTTCCTGTTCAAAAGTCTTTACTTCCTATTCTTTTTTTTTTTTTTAAAGATTTTATTTTTTAAGTCATCTCTACACCCAACGTGGGACTCAAACTCACAGCCCTGAGATGAAGAGTTGCAAGCTCTACCAACTGGGCCGGCCAGGTGCCCCTTTACTTCCCAATCTTTATGGTATTAAAGCCAAAGCACTTGGCTTGATAATCAAATCCAACCACCATACAAATCCTGTCAACCCAACCTACCTAATCATGACCCCCCTGGACTCCTCCTGATGCTCCTGTTCCCTTCATGCCTGTGTGCCTGCAACTACCACCCACCTTCTCTCTCCCATTTACTAAGGCTCTGGGGCCACCTCACAAAGCCTTCCCTGGCTTGGGCTTTCCTGGGCGCTCACAACTGGGCACTTGGTGGCATCGAGATTGCACGTAAACAGAAGTTTTGATTCTCAAATCAGAAGGGTGCCTGTTTCTTCTCTTATGATGTGTCTCCCATCAGGCATTAAAAAATTCCTGCTGACTCACCTAAAGTCAGAATTCAGTTAAAACGCCCCACCCCCATACTCCCTCATGTCCCAAGGGAAGGAAAATAAAGAAGTAAGTTAAATTGGAGGCAAACTCGAATCACTCCTATTTCTGCATGCTTGGTCAGTGTGAAAAGAAAAATAAAAGGTCTCTAACTCCAACCCAGACGTAAGAAGGGGAGGGACTCCCTAAAAAAAATGCATAGAATAAATCACAAGGACTAGCCTCACTTCAAGATTTCAGGAAGGAAAACACAGTTAAACTGAAAACTGTTAAGTGGTATTAAAAACAAACACATAGACACACACAACAACAAACAGCCCGGAAATGTTTTTAGTACTGCATCTATCAGAGTCCCTTAAGGGCTTGATTTGTCCTCCAACATAATCTTCCTAACACCTGCTTTTACTAAAAACCAACAGCCCAACACCAGAGCTCTGTGAGTCAGAAGCAGAGTGAAACTAGACCCACAGGTACTCAGCCGTGAAGCACGTCACCCAGATAACAAGCAAGAGCCACACCAAGTTTGACCCGTCAGTGCCCCGTGGCCATGAGGCGGATGGGTGGCCCACAACACCCCACATTCTCCTCCCCCCTTGTTCCTCTCTCTGGCCCCTGCCTCCACCTCAACCTCCCAGCTGCCAAATGTACCCGGAAAAAAAGTCCTCGTGCCACCTCCCACCCAAATGAATTCCACGTTATTTCAAGTGAGACCTCAGGACCAACACATATTTCTTTCCTGTCCTTTTTTTTTTTTTTTTAAACAAAGAATAGCAAAACATAGAACTTAGAAAACTCAAGTGAGAAGAATTAGATCTAAATACCTTTTGGTTTTAACCTTGTCTCATATATTTAATCTCTTTGAGTGCAAATCTACGTCTACACAAAGCAACTGTCCCTTTAAATCTCAAACAACATCAGCGTGGTTCTATTCCTCTCTCAAATGCTTAGAAACTGGACTTGCTCATTACATCTTACAGAGTCAAAAAACACAATCACGGCCCGCACAGAAACCTGCACTCCAAAATATTCACGGCATTGTTCACAATAGCCCAAACTGGAAACAACCCCAAACGTCCATCAAATGATGAATGAATAAACAAAAGTGGTATAACCATACAGTGGAATATTATTTCACAAAGAAAAGGAACGGAGGGGCGCCTGGGTGGCTCAGTCGTTAAGCGTCTGCCTTCGGCTCAGGTCCTGATCCCAGAGTCCTGGGATCGAGCCCCGCATCGGGCTCCCTGCTCAGCGGGAAGCCTGCTTCTCCCTCTCCCACTCCCCCCTGCTTGTGTTCCCTCTCTCGCTGTGTCTCTCTCTGTCAAATAAATAAAATCTTAAAAAAAAAAAAAAAGAAAAGGAATGGAGTACTAACATGTGCTGTGATATGGACGAACCTTGAAAACATCATGCAAAGTGGAAAAAGCCAGACACAGAAGACCACAGGGGGTGTGGCGCTTTCTCCATAATGCCCAGTATAGGAAATCTACAGTAGATGAGCCATTGTGGGGTGCTGGGGGAAACAGGCAGAGTAGAAGAGGTGGGTGACCATCCAGGGGTGCAGAGTTTCTTTTGGAGTAAGGAAAATGTTCTAAAATTAACTCTGGTGATGGACATGCAACTCTGTGAATATATCAAAAGCCATTCAATCATACATTTTAAATGGACAAACTGTATGGTATGAGAATTATAGCCCAATAAAGCTGCTATTTAAAAAAAAAGACAAGGAAAAAATATCTCATAGTCACAAGTTAGTGACTGTTGCTTGTGCAAGTGACTGTTGTGTAAATCTATCAGTTTGAAACATCCACAGTGAATGTGTCCCAGGCTATTTGTCCTGAGTGGCTGGAAATGAAGTGCCCCAAAGTAGCACTCAGGAAGGTACCCCCGAGGGACAAAAGACAACTTTTCTTTCACTGACCACAGTTTTAACTGTAGCATTTTAAAATGTTCGGATATTGGCAGGCACTTAAGAGCACCCTGGTTTATAAAATAGCTGATTGTGACAACACTTAAGATTTAGGTTGCACCAGTCATCAGAGCTAAGCTGAGACAGAGTCCTGCTTGGGGCGCTCAGGGATGTCGGTGTGTGGAGCCTCAGATGGGTCGCCCAACCTCCTGGGCACAGAAGACCCTTCACACTTTGCCACTTTTCAAACTCCACCAATTTATGGAGGTTACAGGCCCTCCAGATGAACCACAAAACTACCTTGCATCAAGTGGTACACAGAATAATGCACATAAGAATTTGCATAGGGCAAAGAGCAACAAAGGCGAATTTTACTAGTGAGCCAACAATTCAGGTTAAAAGAAATCAGAAAGAAAAATAGGATTATGTGAAGTTAAGAGGGTAAATTTAGAGGGGGAGGTTATTTAGGGATTATAATTTTGTTTTCCATTAGTTTTACTTTGTTCCTTTTTCAGGTCTACAAGAACAAATATGATTCATCTTCTACCCAAAGGTGCCCAGCCTCATTTTCTGATAAAGGCAAGAGTTCCAGAGACCTTGGGCTGCCACCCTGCCTTGCTGCATCTGAGCTCTGTACATAATGTAACCTCTGAGCTTTGGTTCCACATTTGTTACAAAGGAGTAATATCCCCTATTTGGCCATGTTTTTGTGGGGACTGAATGAGGTGGAAACTGCACAGTACAGCACCCAACCCACAGAGGCTCGGGGCAAAGCTGGAATAGGGAAGGATAAAAGAGAGGGTTCATCAAGCTCCCTACAAATAAAGTTAGTGACACTGAAGGAAGATGTCAGAGAGTCCATGTCAGGCAGGGCCCTAAAGGGGTTGCAAAGAAGGACAAAACATCGTCGAAGGAAGCAGGTGCTGAAAATCAGGGAGGGTCTTTCCTAGACTTCTCATTACAATGCCAAGAAGTGGTGCATTGCCCTTAGCTTCACCAACAGAAAGTACGCTTCTTCCCAAATATGCAACTTAGAATTATTGTCTGTTGAGGGCAAATGGGATCGAAATAGAATGTAAACAATCCTTCCACAAATGCTCACATTGCAGACTGCAGCTGGGAGTCCATTTCCTTGTTCTCTGCGGTCCAGCCTGGGGACTGCTTTGCCGGGTAGAGAAGTCCAGGGCGTGCTGCCACCTGCAGGCAAAATGAGAAAAAGCACAAAGTGACGGACAGGATCACCCACCTTAAGCGCCAGGCAACTGGAACAGCTGGGTCCATCCAGGTGCAACAGCCAAGAGAACCCGCTCAGTTCTGTGTTTGTGATTCCACGACAGGGTTGCGACAGACATAGTCAGTAAAATTCTAGACTATCAAGGACTTGAGCATCTCTTAACAGCAACAACCGGCAAACTCACACAGGGCTCACCGTGGGCCCGACACTGCTCTAAACGATTCACACTTATTAACTCATTTAATCTTCACCAAAAAATTGAACATTTTAAAGGTCTCTGCTGATTTGCCTGATTATTTGAGTTAGGATGAATAATTAAAATGAAGAACTTGATAATAGCCAATTTCAAAGACGGGTCAGACATGAAACCTCTGTGAGAGGTTCTGAGCATCCTGCATGTCGTGCAGCCTCCCTTTTTCAAGTCCCTGTTATGGACCAGACACTGCTCTGGGAGCTGGCACGCACCCAAAAGATGAAGTCCCTCCTCTTGTGGGCTTCTGTTCTGGTGGAGGGAGGTGACAAGAGAAGAGGCAATAAATGCTGGGCTGAAGCAGCAACAGTGTAAAGGGGACAGAGGGTGATGACCATGCTGTGGTGAATCAAGTGAATATTCATTCACTTATTCATTTATCCTCATGTACTTACTAACCATCTACCACAAGCCAGACACTGTGCTGGGATGCAACAGTGGGCAAAAACCAGACACGGTCCCGGCCTGTATGGGGTACTTACTCACATAGGAGAAGCATATATGAATCAAATGATCACTTTAATAAATGCCAAGGTATAACAACCCAGGGAAGTGTGAGAGCAGAATGACACAGGAGGTCACTATGAGAGCAGCCTAGGGAGGCCTGACCTTGTCTGGAGCCTCACCAAGGCCTGGAATGGAGTGTGGGGAGGAGAAACATCCTTGGTAAGAAGCACACCATGCACAAAGGCTGGATCACGGACAGCAAGTCAGAGGCCGAGGAGAGAGAGATGAGGTAAGGGGAGGTGGAGAAGGGGTGTGAGCAGCCATTACACAGCTCCCCCAGGCCCGAGAGGCCCTCATCCTCTGAGGCCTGGAGCACCACATGAGGATTTTAGGCAGAAGAATAATGTGGTTGGATGTGTGTGTTTCTAAAAGACTACACTGTGTGGTAGGCTGAATAATGGCCCTGCCAAAGACGTTGATGTCTGGATCCCTGGAAGTTGTGTGTTCTCTAACATGGCAAAAGGCATGTTGCAGAATGTAATTAAATTATGGATCTTGAGATGGGAAGATAATCCTGGAGTCTCCAGGTGGGCTCAATGTAATCACAAGTGTCCTTAGAAGAGGGAGGCAGAGGAGATTTGACTACAGAAGAGGAGCAGCAGAGCAGGCAGGCGTGAGAAAGACTTGCTGGTTTTAAAGATGGAGGAAGGCGCCATGAGCCAAGGACTGCAGGAAGCCTCAAGCAGCTGGAAGAGGCAATGAAATGAGTTTCCTCCAGAGCCTCCAGGAGGAACACAGCCCTGCTAAAACTTTGATTTTAGGACTCTGACTTCCAGAGCTGTAAAATAATAATTTTTAAAAAATATTTTATTTATTTATTTGACAGAGAGAGAGAGAGAGTGCATGAGCATAAGTGGGGGAGGAGGGGAAGAGGGAGAGGGAGAAGCAGACTCCCTGCTGAGCAGGGAGCCAGACGTCGGGCTCGATCCCAGGACCCTGGGATCATGACCTGAGCCGAAGGCAGACGCTTAACCGACTGAGCCACCCAGGCGCCCCGGTAAGATAATAAATTTGTATTGTTTCAAGCCGCTAGGTTTGTGGTAATTTGTTACAGCAGCAATAGGAGACTAACACACATTGGCTTCTGTGAAAAAAATAGGCAAGAGGTAAGGGGAGGTAGTTACCAGTCAAAGGTCACTGTGTTATCCAGGCAAGAGATGTGACAGCCTGAATCACAGCAATGGTGGCAGGGGGGTGGAGAGGAGTTGAAGGACCCCGGGGCGGGTGGGGGGGGGGCGGGCAGTTGCCTAGTCAAAGGTCTTGCTACAACCTGGCAGATGTTACTGGAATGCCACAACAGGCTTCTGTTAGGCTCAGGACCTGGCTAACTGGCCCTGGGCAGAGCCCAGCACCCTTGTAAAAGAAGGAAGCTTGCACCAGGGCTGTAAGACCTCTCTCCGAGAGAGACAGCATTTAGTCACTCAACAGGGACCTGCCAACTCCATTCCCACAATGGAATCCAGGGGTTTCCAGGAACCAGCTCTAAGAAGTAACATCCTAGGAATTTCTAGAAGGCAAAAGGTAGCAAATTGTTTCTGCCAAGCATTAGGCCTTTCAGTGAACATTATTTTTCTTCCCAACAGAGATTTTGTAATCCTGGAAAGAAGGCATCCAAATTTAAATATATGCACCTCCAACCCAGGTGATGAAGAACCATGATTATATCTCACATATAGAAATTTCATGGCCAAAATGGTACAGGAAATATATATATGTATTTCTAATTTAAATATGTAAAGTATGTATTATATGTTGGGAGTATATACTTTATATATTGAAATTAGAAAAATATAAATATTTGTATATATAGATATAAATAAAGCAAATGGGGTAAAATGTTAATAGGTGAATCTGGGTAAAGATTCTTTTTACTACTTTTACTTTTTAACTATTCTTTTTACTATTGGATATTCTTTTTATTATTTTTATTTTTGCCACTTTTCTGTAAGTTTGAAATTATTTCCAAATAAAAATTTAAGAAGCAAAAAAAAAAAAAAAATTATGGCCAGTAGAATAATGCGGAAATTACAGGAAAAGAATAAATGAGAAACTAGGAGATGCCCTTTCATCAGCTACTCTACTCCTATTTAATGATCCAAACCCACTGAAAAAAGAGGGTTCCTGATGTGAGCCTGCCTAATAGGACTGTTGAGAAGAAAAGGCAACAAAAATGATTTCAAACAGTTTTGTATATACTCCTCTGTTTTACTCCAAAAGTATAAATATACACCCACCAAGACCAAGTATCCTGGAGTATACTGAGAGGTGACAAGGAAGTCTTAAGGGCATTATTCCCCTTTGGCTCTGCAGCAGGCTATGGGGACCTAACTGGATTCCAGGAGCATGTAAGGACTCAAGAGTGCCTACAGATGGCGGAATGCCAAGCAGTCCTGTTAAGAGTTGAACAGCTTAATTAAAAAATAGATATATGTAAAAAAAATATATAGATATATGTATACATTGTTTTTCTGGTAACAAAGTGATAGATGTTTATTAAAGGAAAACACAAAAGTCTGTAGTTCAACCATCCAGACATAGCTTATTTGGAATTATTTTTTTCTACTCCTTTTTCCAATAATTTTAGTGTGTGTGTATATATACACACACATATATATAAAACAAATATATACATAGTTTTATATATAACAAATATACTTATATATATAGTTTCTTTTTAACAATAATGGGATAGTGTATATATTTTTCTTTTGCAACCAGTTTTGTTTTACCTAACAGTATATAATTTTCCCATGTCATTAAATACACTTTTTAAATAGCTGGCAGTATCATATCATAGGAAGATATCAAATTAATTTAACCAATGCCTTACTGCTGGACACCTGAGTGGTTTCTAACTTTCTGATAGCAGAAGTCTCACTGAGAGGAACAGCTTTATATATAAGAACCCCCCCACCCCATTTAAAATCTGTATTTGAAGCTCTGATTATTCTTAGGGTCAGGTTCCACACATTTCAGTTATCCATACATCACCATAACTATTTCACCATAATTAAATACCATCTGTCCTATACTTAGCCTTTCTTTTTAAATCAATTCATTTCTGTCCTTAAATGAGTCTTAAAAGCAAACTTTATTTACTATTATAAATGGAAAACCAGCATCTTATGTCATAAAGAAAGGCAATCATAAAGACAAATACAATGGAAAACAAAACATTGTAAAAATGGAATTAAGATATGGCTATTCCTTTGCTCATTCTTTTATATCGAAAGGGAGATTGGAAAGGTGTAGAGAGGTGTTAAAGACATACCAGCATCAAACTGACAGCTTTCTCCTTCCCTTGATCAGAAGACTGAAAAGAAACTGACAGGAATGACTTTCTCACTATGTGCATCATGTCAGACAATGCCACAGATGTGTTCCACCTAGAATTACCCTCCATCACCTAAAGTCACTTCGCATAGAAAACATGTCTTTTTTTTTTTTTTAAGATTTTATTTATTTATTTGAGAGAAGAATCGAGCACAAGCCAGGGGGGCAGGGCAGCGGCAGGGAGAGAGAGAGAAGCAGACTCCTCGCTGAGCAGGGAGAATGACACGGGGCTCCATCCCAGGACCCTGGGATCACGACCTGAGCTGAAGCCATCCAGGCGCCTGGAAACATGTCTTAAGACACAGTCCTGGAAGTAGAATTTTTGAGATAAAATGTATGGACACTTTAAAAAGCTTTTGATAGGGAGGCCTGGCTGGCTCAGTCAGAAGAGCCTGAGACTCTTGATCTTGGGGTTGTGAGTTTGAGCCCCACAGTGGCTGTAGAGATTACTTAAAAATAAAATCTTTAAGGGCGCGTGGGTGGCTCAGTCGGTTAAGCATCGGGCTCTTGATTTTGGCTCAGGTCCTGGGATTGAGCCGTGTGTCTGGATCTGTGCTCAGTGGGGAGTCTGCTTGAGGATTTCTCTCCATCTCTCTCTGCCCTTCTCCCTGCTCGGGTGTACTCACACTCTTTCTCTCTCTCTCTAATAAATAAATCTTTAAAAAAAATTTTTTTAAATAAAATCTTTAAAAAAAATAAATTTTAAAAAGTAAAAAAAAAAAGCTTTTGATAAACACATCCAAGTTAGTTTTACCATAGTTTCCTGAGAGTACCCATTTTACTTCACCCTCAAATAGTTAAGTATTATAAAGTAAATGTTAAAATGTTAAGCTTTTCAGCATAAGATATTCAGCAGCTGAATTTTCAAA